TAGTTTAGTTTCATCCTTCGACTTTGGTCCTTGGTCCTTGGTTGTTTTGTGTGTGAGGGTGAATGTTGACTATGATGGGGTAGCAACCCGCTGCCCAACAGCTAAGGAAACAAAGTTGCTGCAGAGAGCGTGAAGCAGACAGAACATGAGGGCGCAACAGCCAGACGAGAAGCTCACGCCAAGGAATGCAAGAACTTGAATGTGGAGATGAATGATCAGGCCAAGCCCTCATGATTTCATTGCATCAAACTCAGAGATTGAAGGGTTTTTTCAAGTCAATAGTCGTCTAGTGGCGTGGGGCCCTGGGGTCTTATCTGATCTTCTCAATCTTGTCATGGCATGTCATGTCGTCTTTCCTCTTTTCTTCCTCTGGAGGCTGACATCGACAAAGCCTTGGGGGCGACACCAGAGGTTGAGGAGGAGGCAGACGATAAGGCAAAGAGTGATGATGATGATTCCGGCGATGAATCGTCAGATGACGGCATTGGCTTCTTGAAGAAGGCCAAGCGAGAGAAGCCCGAGGAGAGGCCAAAGAAGCCGGCGACAAGGAGAAAGATGGAGAAACCCGATCCTCAGGATCCTGAGAAGGAAAAGGCCGCTGCAACGAAGCAGAGCCGGGCTGAGCAGTGTTTGGTTACTCTCAGGACTTTTGATCCTCTTGCCTTTTTTCAATGGAAGCCAGAAGGAGAAGGACTGGCAGTCCAAGATTGACAAGGCAAACTCGCTTACCTCTTCAATGGACTCTTCGGAAGACGGGCAGGAATTGAGCAAAGCCTTACAGACACATGCACAGGACATCCTGACCGTGATGGAGCTGTTGAAGAACATCAGAGATGCATCTCCAAGTGGAGCATTGGATGATTTCCCCACCATGCCACAGGGTGATGTTCAGCAATTGGCGGCCCTTCGTGCAGATTGTCTGACTGCAGTGCTTCAAGGATGTGGGAAGAAGTTTTTGGAGGCCCCTTCTCAGTGTTTGTTAATTTTTTTTTATGCAATTCAAATTCACACCAATGTTCTTTCATTCCAACCTTCCCAATTCCCAACTTACAATGTTTGGACATTTAAGTAGCAGTTGGAAGTTCCCACCTTCACCATTTGGAAGGATTCCACAGACTATGCCCGCAACAGCTCCGTGTTCTTCCAGTTCCTGTCTTTGAATGGCAAAAGCAGCGGCCTGTCCTTACGTTCAATCTCAGAATGCGGAGAGTGCACTCTTGATGTGGCAGACCTGATCAAGGTTCAGTTGAACTTGTTCAATTCATGGGTGGAACGCATGAAAAAATCTATCAGATGCACAGATCGACGCAGCGCTCAATGGCATCCCTGGTGATTTGTGGACTCCCCACTCCACAAGGCAAGCTTTGAAGTCCTGTATTTAGGGTGTCCGTAGTAGCAGCCGGATTAGTTAGGGCACTTGGAAATAAGCGTCAGGCGTCAGTCAGCGTGAATTAGAAACCTTGCCCAACACAGACATTTGAGCATTGAGGTGAGTCTGAGTCATAATTTGTTAGCTTCTTCCTTTTCTCAGGGCCTGGGCAGAGGACACATCATCAAGCACCTCTGTGGCAGATGGCTTTGGTATGTGCTGCAAATTGACGCTGGACTTGCACAAGTTCCTCGCGGCTGCACGTGTCCAAGATGAAAGCGCTTGCAACAGGCTATCTGCTTCTGAGATAGCTGACTTCAAGGCCGTCGTCTCAGCCACTGGAAAGGCTTCTGCACGTGTCTCATTGATCTTCAAAATTGGAAGGCTCAGGACGGACCGGTTGCCAATATAATATGTCACACACACACGCATACCGTCCCCTTTGCCTCTGACAGTACAGTACTCCTGACGTGACATGACTTACGTACCGCTATGTCTTCCTTCCTGGTTCCTGATTCCTTTTGAAAGCTTTAGTGCCGCTGTTTGGAGGGTGTGTGCAACTCAGTGAGTCAGGACTCTTTGGAGTCGAGTTCTTCAAAGCACCAAGAGGGTGTTGGACGAGAAGGTTGCTTTGGAAAAAACTTGATGGTTGCGCAGCCGCCTTGAAGAAGGTCATCTCCTCTGTGAAATCCTGGTCTGACGAGAAGATTGACCCAAAGATCACTGAGCAAATCTGCCAGGACGCCAAAGCTAGCAAGCAGTGCCTCGATGTGGTGACTGTTTGCAAGGGGTCGTCAGATGAAGACTCAGTGGCCAAGGCCACTTCTCTTGAGGAGGAAGTCAAAGAGCTGCGTCAATTGATCGATTCCGAGTTCCACAGCAGCCTAGAGCTTTCAGACTTTTTGGATGGTCAATGGCAGAAGCAGCAATGTGCATTGACTACAAGTGGTTTCAGCGAGCTTGATCCTCTCCCAATGCTTCAGCGAGTATGCGTCCAAGGCGATTCGGTTTATATGCTGGGCCCGCCCCCCTCATACTGTACTGGATTGGACTTAATATTGTGGGGCCCCAGTTTTGGATTTTTCAATTTTGCAATTTTGTTCAGACTTCAGACTCAGAATGACTCAGACTCATGTCGCTGGGTGGGACTAGACTTGGACAGGTGCAGTTCGTGGCCTGCTTCTACACGAGGAGGAGGTTGCGAATTCAATCCTCATGGAGTTGGGCAGCACGCTCTACAAGTTCAGCCAGGATCTCCCAGAAGAATCTGCTTTGGTTCTCTCCGAAGACATTATCAAAAGGTGTCTTGCGGTCCATGGAGCATTGGACTCACTCTTGGGCAAGTCGAAATCCACAGAGAAGTTGCCAGATTGGGTTCAACACTTTGAGAGTGCACTTGCCCGCTTTTCATCAGCTTTGTGCTCTGCGACAACCGTGTGGGTGAAGAACAAGACACAGCAGGGCGAGAAGGCAGATGTCCTGAAGCTTTTTTCAGGAATGCCCGCCGCCCAGGACTTTGGTCAGTCTGTGCAACATTGCGGCAATCTTGGATCAAATGAAGTTCTTGGAAGATCTGAAGGTGCCGGAGCCCACAGATCTCTTCGAGGAGCTTTCCATCCGAATGAAGACCTTCGTCAAGGTCGAGTCACTGGATTACCCCACGCTGGCGGATTTGTTTCCTGACTTGTCTCCAACGGTGGCAAGCTACACGAAGTCTGTGCAGACGAACGTCCTAGATGAGGTGGGCAAACTCCGCAAGTGCATCCAGAAGAATGCTGAACGGATTGTCAAGTACAGGCTGGTTAGACATTGACATGTTTTCTTCCCATTCCCATACTACCTTCTCCCGCGTCTTAGTCTTTGCTGCCCATGATTCGAGGTTGCGAGCCCTTAGAACCCTTTCTTTCTTGCATGTCCAATTTCAGTTCAGTTCCACGGCCGGACCGCAGGAAGATCCTGCCTGCTGTGGAGATTTGGCAATTGGACGGGGTGAAGGACCTTTGCGTTGAGAGCCCTGAGGTAGAGAACGACATGAAGGGCCTAACCCGCTTTGTGGAGAATTGCAATGGCTTCGATGGATGGTGTCGCTCATCTTTGGCGCTCATGAAGGGGTCTACCTGGAAATCTCATGATGTATTCCAGGCGTTTACCGCCATCAAGAAGGAAATGGAGGCCAGTCTTTGCATGTTGCAGTTGCAGTGTTTTTTCGTTTGCGTGTTAGAGTTTGAAGTTTACATTCTGCCAGCTCAATGGGGGGCTGATAAACAGGTCGGTTATGGTTGGTTGGTCAAATCCATGTCAAATCCAATTCCTTGGACTCCAAGTTATTCAAACCCAATCTTGAAGTAAAACTTGGGATCGGGTAGCATTCAAAGGCCGCCCATTCCGACTCTTTCAACAGGCCTCCCGGAAAGATGCCTCAAAGATCGTGGCGTGCACTTCGTTTGTGGTCATTTTGGAGAACCCGAAACTCCAGAAGGAGAGTTTGGACGTGAAGCTTTCCCATGTTCGGAAGATCAGCTTGTTTGTCAGTCAGAAGTTTTGCCTTAGCCTCACAGACTTGCCACCGGCACTCAAGACAAGGGTGGATGCCTTTGGACGCGATCCGGCCGAAGTGCCAGCGACCAAGGGCAAGGGAGCCAAGAGGTGGCTCACAAGAGTTTGGGCAGGTTGTTGATTTTTTGTTTATGTAGGCAATGTAACTTTGACATTCCTGGTTCCCGGCCTTCCTCCCATCATCCAATTGTTGTTTCGGGCCCCCTTCAAACATTTCTCAGATCAATCAATCCCACATCAACTCTGTT